TTCTGCCTATCAGCCACTGAAGTTCTCTTGTTTTGATTTCTACTTGCTTTTTCTTTTTTGTGATGTGTTGTTTCCAAGTCAGTTTGGAATCTAGATGTAGTCCTAGGTATCTTACCGTTTGTGTTTGTGGTATTTGTACATTATTTATTGTAACTGCTGGACATGTTTCTTTGCGGAGGGTGAATGTAATATGCGCAGATTTGCTTTCGTTCACTTTTATTTTCCATTTTTCCAGCCATTGTTGGAGGCTTGTTAGGTAGTTTTGTATCTTGTTTGAGGCTATTTGAGGATTTTCATGGCAGGAAAGAATAGCCGTGTCATCAGCAAATGTTCCTATTATCAGATTTTGTGCCATCGGTATATCTGACGTGTACAAGACATACAACAAGGGTCCAAGGACGCTGCCTTGTGGTACTCCTGAATTTATTGGAAAATAGTCGGATTTCTCTTCATTTACCTTTGTTTGGAATTTTCTTTCACTCAAGTATGATTTTAGGATGGTGAAGTAAGCTGTTGGTAAAATACACTTGATTTTATAAATTAGACCAGGGTGCCAGACTTTGTCAAAGGCCTGGCTAATGTCAAGAAATATACCACTACAATATTGTTTTTTTTCAAATGCTTCATTTATGGTGTGTGTAATACGATGAACCTGTTGCACTGTCGAGTGTTTATGGCGAAACCCAAACTGATGTTCTGGTATCCAGTTTTCCGGAGGCAGGTCTTCATTTAACCTATGAAGCACCAATTTTTCGAGTAGTTTTGAGACTATTGAGAGGAGACTTATAGGCCTATAAGAAGAGACTTCTGTTGGTTCTTTTCCCGGTTTATTTATCATTATAATTTGCGCCGTTTTTAAACACTTTGGCCAGTATCCAAGTCGTATAATAGCATTGAAAATGTAAGTGAGCATTACTATTCCCTTTCTAGGTAATTCCTTCAACATTTTTGCAGTTACAAGATCAGATCCAGGTGACTTTTTTGGATTTAGAAGTTTAATTTCTTTCGCTATTTCTTTTGGTGTCAGTGGTTTGATAGGCGTATGCATTACAGGTGGAGTAGAGATACTTTGTTCTATTTCTTGGTCTACGTCGTTGTCTATCGGTTGAAATACGGAAACCAGATGATCTGCAAATAGATTTGCTTTCTCAGTGTCACTTTTTGCCCATGGGTCATTTGTACTTGTTCTTATTGGAGGAGCAGGAGTTTTAGGTTTTCTTGAATTCTTAATTGGCTTCCAAATAGAATTGTCAGTTCTGCTTAGTTTAGATATATATTGCTCAAACTCTTGGTTTCTTACCTCTTTAAGTTTGTTTTTTAGTCTTTGGCTCATTTGGTTATAGACCTGTCTATCGGCTGGTGTGTGAGTGCGCTGCCATTTTGATCTGGCACGTCTTTTTTCAGCTACGGCTTTTTTAATTTCTAAAGGTATATCCCGGGTTGTTTTTCTTGGGTGGAGTACTGGTGAAGACTGTTGAGCAGCTTGTTGCACATGGTTTATAAATGCTTCTGTAGTTGTCTCTACTTCTTCTGTCTCCTTGAGTCGGATTTTTAGATCTATTCTATCATTTAATATACTGCGAAAAGCATCCCAGTTCGTTAGTATATTGTGGAGCCTCTGTGCGCCAACGTCGCATTTCTGTGCCAACTGTATAATTTCAAATAAACTGTTTTTAACTTATAACAACACATCCCATTTAAATATTTAGGTTGGTACGTGAAATTATTCCAGTAATGACGTGCAACGGAAAACTTGTTATTTTACCTATATTATAAAACATTACAACGCCTATAGATTTTCTGAAAATTAGTTTACTTCCCTGTTAATTTGTATTTTAAAGCAATATTTTGGGTATTTATATTCAACGCACGGAAAGAATCAAAGGGACCGGGAATAGTAATAATATTTACATTATTAGTGCGGGAACAGTTATTTTGAAGATGAGCGCGGGAATCAAGCAAATACTGTTCACGCACGTAACATGTATTCTATTTTTTGCACGGATTAGTTAAATCGAATTTATATAAATTCAAATCCTTTTCGCGAGATTTTTGCGACATTATAATTCTATTGAAAAAATCAAGTCCTCTATGCCGATAAAGTAGAAATTTAAAATGTCAATTTATTGTTAAAAACTTCTGGTTTAAGCTTATTTTTGCCCGTGTACTACAGGGAATGATGTAAAGTGTATTTATATTTTCTTTTTTACTCTTCCATCATGCTACTTATTAGTTTATGATCCGCACTAAATAGATAATTTCGTTGAATTTTTAGGCACTAGTGCGCGAAAGTAGATAGTCAATTGTAAAATTGACGTTCCCGACGTTCGTGTTTGATTGGGAAAACGCGATTTAGAACGAAGGAGTGCAAAAAAGTTTTTCCGTGCGCTAGCCTGGAAAAGGCCAGATACCATTATTTCTAATACAGATGTAAATAAGATGATTTCAATTAAGTATTAAGTAAGTAATTTTACCTTTTTTTTGTAATTCTTTTGACGAAATTTATTATGTTTTAAAACCCCGTTTTTATATGTAATTTGTTCCTGTTCTATTATTTTCATTAAACGTTTATTTACATGAAAAAAAATTTAAAAAAATAAAATAGTATCATTTAAACACTCCTTCCTGAATGGTTTTTAGCGCATTTCCACAAAAATAAAATAAAAATGCGCTATTGTGGCCACTTTGTCCGTCCGTCCGTCCGTCCGTCCGCTAACTTTGCGACGCTACTAGTTTTTTATCTTAAGAGCTATTGTTCTACTTTTTCGCTATTTGGTTCGTTATGGTGTCGAGTCTTGTACCAAGGAAGGAATTTTTTCTGTACCGCTTACAAAAAAAGTTATTGTAAAAAAAACAAAAAACCGTTTTTTACATGTTCCATAATTTTACACTTTTGCCGTTTATTAACGATCCTAGAGATCGTTTATAATTTTGCATTGCTATCTGTCGCCTGCCGGTTGGTCTCTCCGTCTGTTCCTTTGTCTGTCTGTCCATCTATCTGTCCGTGTGAACGATAACTTTGTTTAGAAATGTTCGATCGCTTTTACATCTCCGTTAGTTATGAACTGAATTGCATGAAATTCAATATGGGCATAGCTTTAGCCATATAATACGCAATGCCAAAAGTTGAATCGAATCGATTCAAAATTCACAGTGCCCTTTTCGCATCTCGACCATTTATAAACCGAAATGCAAACTTTTTTACCTATAAAAGTATTTGAATGAAATTTGATACATAGGCACTTGGAATAAAGGAAAATCAAACGCCAATTTCAAAATTTGGTTTTGCGCATGCGCAGTGCCAACTTTTTTATTTATGGAAGAATTTAAACGAAATTTGATACATAGGCACTTGGAATAAAGGAAAATCAAACGCCAATTTCAAAATTTGGTTTTGCGCATGCGCAGTGCCAACTTTTTTATTTATGGAAGAATTTAAACGAAATTTGATACATAGGCACTTGGGATAAAGGAAAATCAAACGCCAATTTCAAAATTTGGTTTTGCGCATGCGCAGTGCCAACTTTTTTATTTATGGAAGAATTTAAATGAAATTTGATACATAGGCACTTGGAATAAAGGAAAATCTAGCGCCAGTTTCAAAATTTTATTTTGCGCATGCGCAGTGCCAACTTTTTTATCTATGGAACCATTTAAGTGAAATTTGATACTTAGGCGCTTGGAACAAAGGAAAATCTAACATTAGTTTTAAAATTTAGGTTTGCGCATGCGCAGTTCCAACTTTCTTATTTAGAAAAGCATTGAAATGAAATTCTTCTCATAAACTGACATTGAAGTAGCACGACAAAAATGGATTGCCCATGTGCAACGCTATCTTTCATATTTGTGGCCGGATTTTTACGATTTTAACAGAAGTTGCATCTTACAAATGGGAAATGAATGCAAGTGGAAATGCGCTTTATGTAAATCGTTTACGATTACTTTTTAACTTATTTTAATGTAACACTATTATTATCTTGATTAAACTAGTAATAATTTAACTGTTTACATTAATTTTATGGCTCATTAAGTTATGCTATAGTAATTAAGTTATTGGTTATTAACTTCATTATCAATTAACTAATCAATTTCATTACCAATTACCAGCAGTTCACCACATTTCAATTAATTTAAAATTGGTCTATGGTAGTAGCGTACTTAGTTATTCACGCAATGACTTACGCACTGGCTCTTCTCCTGAAATATGGTTTCGCCTCAAAAAGCCTTAAAAGAGAATAAAACACAAAAATATGTATTTATTGAAATCTTATTTCTTATGAATTGTAACCGCTGAAAGAAATACATTTTAGTAAATAAAATAATCTGGAAGAAGAAACGAGGAAAGTAACTGAAAAGGAAAAACATTAGCGTCACACTCACACCGTTCATCAAGAAAATCCATTGAACTCTTACAAACATTTATTTCAAGTTAATCCAAAGTAACGAAAAATTATACTAATTCGCCTTGAAGTACCTCGAAGGCAAACTACTTGTACACAGTATATCAAACAAAAACGACTGCACTTAATGCACGTCATGTCTACTAACTACAAACACGGTGAAAAAGATTGATATCGGTGGTAACAAAACAACCGAAACTTAAACGGTTGATTTAAAATGTTTCCACAATATTTACAATGGAAATAATTTTTTATGAACAATAAAACAGGCAATCTGTGTATGAGTGGGCTGCTATCCAGATACGTCTCCGGAAACGCATGGACTGCTTACAGAATGCGTTCAAATGTCATCATCGAGACAGTATCACGCCACCGTGCACAAAATAGCCGTTTAGTACGAATTGTTCACGAGCAAATACAAACAAGTGTAATTAAAGTAAAAGGCAAGACGAAACTCCTTCAGTTAGTGATTCGCGAACACATGCACTAATAAGGCTGTGGATATAAAATTTAACAGTATTTGACCAGACTACCGTCGCTTCTTATTTAGCTTACACGGTATGAGTATCTTCCATACTGATAAAGATGTTTTTGTTGCAGATAGCACCAATATGAGACCATTTTCACAACGGTTAAGAACAATGACATGTTATGGACTGATAGGAACTTTTCTATTCACTTCCGGTGTGCTGCTTCTCTTACTATGGAGTTGGTTACTGGATGTTCTCACAGCTTCGATGTTAGTTCTAAAGCCAGACGGTGCACTTTTTGAAGTATGGCGCAAACCACCAATGACTCTTGCATTAGATTTTTACTTCTTCAATTGGACGAATCCGGAAGAGATCAACAGTAAGAAACCCAAATTTACGGAAATGGGACCGTACCGTTTTACGGAACTTAGAGAAAAGGTTAATTTAGTTTGGAATGAAAACGACACGATAACGTATCAGCAGCTAAGAAGGTGGAACTTTGATGCGGAGTTTTCGAGCGGGCGGTTAACTGATAGTGTTACCACGCTTAATGCGGTTACAATGGTGAGTTTTCTGGTAACTTTACTGCTTTGACAGGCTGCATTATAGAGCGCCGCTCACCACATTAAAGACTGGAATTACTTTATGAAGAGAGGCTTTTCACACACTCTATCAGCGGTTGCACCAAATGCTCACATCGTTAAAACCGTCGGAGAACTACTTTTTGATGGATACGATGATCCTTTAGTGGACATCGCGGCCACATTTCCTTTCCTCAGCACAGGAATCCCATCGTTTGATAAATTTGGATGGTTCTATACAGTACGTGATAACTATCTAACTTTAACTAACGTAAATTTGTAGAGAAATAATTCTGATACATTCGACGGCGTGTTTAACATGGGTACGGGGGTTCAAGGGGACTTTGGTCAATTGAAAACGTGGAATTATGAAAATGAAACTAATTACTACAGCGGTGAGTGTGCAAAGGTACACGGTTCCGGTGCAGAATTTTATACGAAACCTCTCAAGAAGGACTATATTGGATTTTTTTCTCCGGATATGTGCAGGTACGTCCAACTCGACTATGAAGAGGATAAGTCGTTAAGTGGGATTTCTGGTTACAAATACTCGGCCCAAGCGGGGATGCTCGACAATGGTAATGCTCGATTTGGTTTCGTGACTGCTCATACTCACTTATAGGCACTCTTAGGCCCGAGAATGAGTGTTTTTGTAATGGTGACTGTGTTCCGTCAGGTATGCTAAACGTATCATCCTGTAGATACGGTACTCCGGCATTTGTATCTCTTCCCCATTTTTATGGAGCTGATCCCACCTACCTAAGTAGAGTAGAAGGTCTTCATCCAGAAAAAGATAAGCATGAGATGTATATTACACTTGAACCGGTAAGTTCGCGCAAATAGTTCAATTTAGGTATTAATCCACTTCTAGACGACCACGGCTCCTTTAGATGTAGCAATCAGATTACAATTAAATATAAGGACTACACCCATAGATTACATAACGTGAGCACCATGGCACTGGTATTTTTTTTTGCAAAATTGTAACGTAATCCTTCACAGATTATACGAGGAAATACCTGAAATTTTCTTTCCGATGCTGTGGTTTGAACAAGTTGTGAGTATACCGGATCATTTTAAGTGGGGACTCTGGATTTTGTCTCACGCCGAAATTATTTTTCCTATAACTGGAGGCCTTATAACAATCTCAGGTGCGGCCATGATTGCTTACGTAACCATTAGATGGGTAACCGAAGACATACAGCGGCGAAAGCTGAAAATTCGAACGATATGCAGAGAAGAAGTGCCTCTAAACCAAAGTGCATGCGAAAGGAGTTTAAAAAGAAAATTAAATTATTTAGATATTATTTATAGCTAGCATACGATAATTTTTGTAAACAACTTACATTGAACTCGTAAATTATACAAACAGTATTTATTTGATGTGCGCCTTCAAAGTTTCCCCAAATCTAAAATGATCCTTCCACTACAACAATATATAGTTTACCGTTGCGTTCGACAACCGAAGGAGTCAGAATGAATTAATACCAACCCCTACTAGGCTCAGGCTACAGTAAATGTATCCTATTACAATGTCCACCACTCCGAACCAGTGCCGAAGACGAAAAACGCTACCCTCCAAAACCACCCACAAAGTAAAATCCAAACGGGTTCTGGTACTAGAAATCACAAACGCAGGTCGCATTCCAGACAACGGCAAAAAACCGCCTCGAAAGGATTGTTAACCGAAGACCATCATCTTTGCACCAAGACAAACGCGGACATTCCTGTCTGTATACAATGGTAACTGTTACGTAAATTCTGCTTCTGTTTTAATAATACGCAAACTGATATTTGCGAGCTGTTTACAGAACCAAAATGGACGACCAAATTCTGAGTTCAAATGGCAATGACTAAAGCTTTTTCTAAATTATTAATTAAACGGTAAGTTGAGCAACGACTCCAACCAGTACAAATTTCTCTAAATTTTATGTTCATGGAATAATAAAACTGATATATAAAGTAAAATACAAAAGTAGAAAGCAAAAGGGAATAATCAGTCCTTTCAGATAAATTAAACATAGTTTACGTAGCTGCTCACATTTTTGGGCAAACTTAATTCAAATTACAAATAATTAAATCACTTAAAGCTAAATTCGAAATTATTTATGATTAAGTGTAAATGCAAGTCGTCTAATATAATGTCTAAACGACGGTCAAGAAACATAAGACAATTATCCTACTTTGAACATTAGGGATTGAAGAGTAATTTCGACATACCCACCTGAGATTATCATGGGATATATACCCGCAAAAATAGGTTTTAACGTAAGGGATTCCCTACATCTGATCGAAAATTACGGCGTAAACGTAGGCATTGTTTTTAACTAGGTTTTTGCAGAATTCTATGAACCTTTCGCCGTTATTGTTACTTCTTCTCCAAAGCCTCCCACAACTTCATCCCCTTTTCTTGTACCCATTCGACCAATGATGGTGATTTTCCTGTTATGATGAACAGGTGGGGCTCACCTTAAATTCTACTGTGGTCTCAATTCTAATCATTTTGTCCTGTAAAATCAAGTCGTCTCTACAGTATTTTATCCAGGCTAAATAGCTCTAAAATAATTTATTTAAAAAAAAAAACGGGCGAAACCGGGTTTTTCCTGGTTTTTCAGGCAGGTAAAATGATTAGAAATTGGGAAAAAATAATTAAAACAGCTGAATTTTTCTGCGGGTGAAATCCCGTGGGTTGAAAGGGGTAGAAAGTGGTGTTTGCAAATTGTGGCAAAACTATTAATTTTAGACAAAAATGTTCAATGTAAAAGTAATAGAGATTAAAATTAAGAGCAACTTTTGAACCTGCAGTATCACATAACCTCCAATTTTCCTAGAAAAACCCGAAAAACTGTTTTTTTTTTCGTTTTTTATTCTTATTTTTGCGAAAAAATGTCGTATTGGTTTGAAATTTGGAGGAAATATACCTTGTTTTATGATTAAAAAGGAGATAATTTTTTGGGCCCGTAAAGTTCAACCGTTTCTAAGATCTCACGATTTTTGAAAATAACCACATTTTTTTCAGGGGGAAGAAAAATTTACTTTTTTTCCTCGTACAGAGGTGAGCGGAGTATCAAAACTTTCGTAAGGATTACATTTTAATAATCAAAAATAAAAAATATTATTCCAATAGAAAAATTTTAAGAAAAACGGCAAAAACTGGGGGAACTGTTTTAAGATATACCGTTTTTGCCTATAGCTTTTTTTGCAACAAAATTAACGTATTGGATCCGCGCTAATAAAAGGTTTTTGAAATCTGTCTTCTCTCCTCTTTAATGTTGCTAAAATATTTGCTTTTGTTTCCTAGTGCCCAACTGCCTTAATTAAAACATTTTGTGGCGTCTGTCTGTCCGTCCGTCCGTTAGCACGATAACTCATAAACGAATGGACCGATTACCATGAAATTTTGCAGGTGGATTCTTTATCAAATTTGCAGATTGGAGTTCGTGAATTGGCAATGTAGCCCAAAAAATAAAGTAGGCCCTTTTAACATCTCCGTTAGTTATGAACCGAATTGCATGAAATTCAATATGCGCATAGCTTTAGCCATATAAAACACAATTCCAAAAGTTGAGCCTAATCGATCAGCATTCACAGTGCCTTTTGCGCATCTCGACCATTTACAGACTGAATTGCAAACTTTCTTATTTATGAAGGTATTTAAATGAAATTTGATACATAGCCACTTGGAATAAAACCAAATTTTACGCCAGTTTCAAAATTTGGTTTTGCGCATGCGCAGTGCCAACTTTCTTATTTATGGAGGGATTTAAATCAAATTTCATACATAGACACTTTAAATAAAAGCAAAACTAACATCAGGTTTAAAATTTGGTTTTGCACATGCTATAGCCATACCCAGGAGCTCGTTTGCTATATTTGTTTAATTTATTATTTCTTTTTTCTGCATTTTTGCCGCAATAAAAGCAATTCGAAGTAAAATCGAATTCTTTTACTTCCTGAACAATTTGTTTTTGTTCACTTCCTGCCTGTTTTACAGTTGATGGGATTAAGCTGGGCCTGTTGATCGTTAATTTACAGGAATTATGAATAAAAATCCTCACGAAGTTTATTCCAGGTTTTACATCTCGAATGATTTGCTTTGGCCGGTAAACCTAATGTTCTTATTGCAGATTTTGCAAGTTTATCAACAGGCCTAACGCAATTGCATCAGTTATAAAACAGGTAGAAAGAATAGTCAGTGAACAAAAACAAATTGTTCAGGAATTAGGAAGCAAGATAATTTGATTTTGCTTTTATTGCGGTAAAAATGCAAAAAAAAGAAATAACAAAGATGTTTTAACTAAAACAGTTGAGCATAACATAACAAAAGAGAATATATAAGCAAACATTAAAGAGAAGCAAGAAGACAGATTTCGAAAAAATCTTTATTATCATCCAACATGTTGATTTATCATGTCAAAAACCGTGTATATCTTAAAACTGTTTTTCCAGTTTTTGGCGATTTTCTCGAATTTTTGTTATAGGAATAATATTTTTTTATTTTTGTTTAAAAATTAAAATATAAGTCTTCCCGAAAATTTTGCTACTCCGCGCACCTTTGTACGATGAAAGAAATTAAATTTTTTCAGCCCTTTGAAAAAGAGGTGGTTTTTTCAGAAATCGTGAGATCTCGGAAACGGTTCAACTTTACGGACCCGACAAAATTGTCTCCTTTTTTTATCATAAAACAAGCTCTCTTTACTAAAAATTTCACACCCCTACGATTTTTTTTCGCAAAAATAAGAATAAACAATTGAAAAAACAGGTTTTTCCGGTTTTTCTAGGAACATTGGAGGTTACGTGTAAATAGTGCAGATACAAAAGTTGTTCATTTTATATTTTCTATAACTTTTATATTGAACATTTTCGCCTAAAATTAATAGTTTTGCCACAAATTGCAAAATACCGGTTTCGACCCCTAATTGAACCCCCGTGATTTCACCCCCCTGCGACAAACCCGGTTTGATTTTTTCTAAAAAAATATTATATAGCCTGAACTATTTAACAAAATATCATTAGTAAGCGATTCGACTGGGTTTTCGTATCGTTTAGCAGCAATTTATTACGGAAAAGTAGGTTTTGAAACCACACACAGCGGTTACATATACCTCGAAGAGCCCCATTCTCTGAATCTACATGTCCGTCGATTTCTTACATAAGAAATAGTAGCGGGCCTAGCGGACTTCCTTGTGAAATGCCCACTGATGAATGTGTCAATAAATGAGATAGCTGAGTGGAATTTTGCATAGATTCGTCATAAGGCAGTCTTCACTTTTCTTATTCTTCTCTTATGCTTTTATTTCCTCCGAATGAAATGACTTTCTTGATTTTTGAAGAAAATTGTACTTATGCTTTTTTGTTAGCGGATTTCCAGAAAAATAAAAAAAATGCGCTATTGTGGCCACTTTGTCCGTCCGTCCGTCCGTCCGGCCGGCTGTCCGTCCGTCCGTCCGCTCGTTTTGCGACGCTACTAGTTCTTTATCTTAAGAGTTCTACTTTTTTCGCTATTTGGTTCGTTATGGTGTCGAGTCTTGTACCAAGGAAGGCATTTTTTCTGTACCGCTTACAAAAAAAGTTATTGTAAAAAAAACAAAAAACCGTTTTTTACATGTTCCATAATTTTACACTTTTGCCGTTTATTAACGATCCTAGAGATCGTTTATAATTTTGCATTGCTATCTGTCGTCTGCCTGTTGGTCTGTCCGTCTGTTCCTTTGTCTGTCTGTCCATCTATCTGTCCGTGTGAACGATAACTTTGTTTAGAAATGTTCGATCACTTTTACATCTCCGTTAGTTATGAACTGAATTGCATGAAATTCAATATGGGCATAGCTTTAGCCATATAATACGCAACGCCAAAAGTTGAATCGAATCGATTCAAAATTCACAGTGCCCTTTTCGCATCTCGACCATTTATAAACCGAATTGCAAATTTTTTTACTTATAAAAGCATTTGAATGAAATTTGATACATAGGCACTTGGAATAAAGGAAAATCAACTGCCAATTTCAAAATTTGGTTTTGCGCATGCGCAGTGCCAACTTTTTTATTTATGGAAGAATTTAAACGAAATTTGATACATAGGCACTTGGGATAAAGGAAAATCAAACGCCAATTTCAAAATTTGGTTTTGCGCATGCGCAGTGCCAACTGTTTTATTTATGGAAGAATTTAAATGAAATTTGATACATAGGCACTTGGAATAAAGGAAAATCTAGCGCCAGTTTCAAAATTTTATTTTGCGCATGCGCAGTGCCAACTTTTTTATCTATGGAACTATTTAAGTGAAATTTGATACTTAGGCGCTTGGAACAAAGGAAAATCTAACATTAGTTTTAAAATTTAGGTTTGCGCATGCGCAGTTCCAACTTTCTTATTTAGAAAAGCATTGAAATGAAATTCTTCTCATAAACTGACATTGAAGTAGCACGTCAAAAATGGATTGCCCATGTGCAACGCTATCTTTCATATTTGTGGCCGGATTTTTACGATTTTATAGAAGTTGCATCTTACAAATGGGAAATGAATGCAAGTGGAAATGCCCTTTATGTAAATCGTTTACGATTACTTTTTAACTTGTTGCTATTACTTTGGCATAATTGTCAGAGTTCGGATTACCGAGATTGAGCTGTACCTATGTACACACATTACACAAAACGCATAGGATTAACCTCATTATTTGTGGAAGTATCTTCCAGAAATAGGAACCAAACATACGTCAATTGAGGACAAACACAAATGTCAAAACAATACGCGCCGAATCAATTTTGTTGTTTTTGGACAATTTCCCCGAACTTTCACTAATTAGAGTAAGAAAGAACGCTCTTCCCTTTTAAAAAATACTGAATTACAACATGAAAAACCCAATAACGTTACTCGTTGTTACGATGAATCACTTGCCACTTTTTCCATTATTATGGTTGCAGAGAAAAACGGAAATTTTGGTACCTTTGCTACATTCCTAACCGAAACGCTTTGGTTCTTTGCTTATTTGTAAGAATGGGTGATTTTGGTCCCATCCAACAATAAATCTTTTTGATATACACCTCTCTGTGAAGCTTGTCAAGCTACTCAAAAGGTAAACCCTAAGTCCTTTATATTCTGGAAAATGTTAAATAATTTACTTTACCATCTATGTGACAATAACTATGTTATCACTTACGTTCATTATTTTCACCATTTGTATGAAAAGAATGTGTAGGTAGGTATAATGAGGTGTTTGGAGGTGTGCCCAACAATTATATTTCAAATTGTTCTAATTAAAATAAATGTAATATAAAATTTAATCGCATAGAAGACTACCTGCCGCGCCGTGCCAGTCAAGGCGAAAAATATTTCAATACTATTAGGAAATGTACTTCCCCATAATATTGGTAAAGATACCATTCATTAACACTAAACGCACCAAATATATTGAATTTCCCGTACTTAAGGTGCGTGCGTAAAATGCATTATTTAAATTAGCAACAATTAGATTATTAGATTTAGTATCTCTGAAAGCTGCGTGGATGTATGTGTTGTTAACATCATCGCATTAGGATTAATGGTCCATAGTGCATAAAGAAGGCCCAATCAATAGTGCTATTATTGTGCGAGTTAAAGGTACGTAACTCCGTTTATCAAATTTGGTTCCTTTGCATTTTTCACAATCCAAAACGGCGGCGTTATTTTCTTTCGACTTCCAAGAACATAATTATCAACCCCAATCCCAATGGAGCCAAATCACCTGGCCTGCCAGAACACAAATTTGATTATAAAATTAACGTACCTAACAAAAATTGTAAGTGAGGGATTTGATTCCTATGGAAGCGCATAAATGATTCATTGTTATAACTAACACTGCAATGGACTAAGATTTGCATTTACTGATTATCTCAGCTCCTTCCTATTTTAGCAGTGAAAAAAATAATCGTTTTTTTCAGAAATAATGAATCCGTTCCTAGAAAAACTGGCAAGAAGAAGCGGTCCCAGTATGATCGCCGCCTCGTTCTTCACATTTGGGGTAGTATTCCTATTACTATGGAATTGGATATTTGATCGAGTCCTCGCTTCGATATTAGTGCTCAATACTGAAAGTCAAGTGTTCGAACCATGGCGTACGTCGCCCGTCCCGATTACGATGGACGTGTATTTCTTTAATTGGACCAATCCGGAGGAAATCTACGACCACTCAAAGAAACCTGCGTTCGCTGAGCTTGGCCCGTACCGTTTCACAGAGCACAGGGAGAAAGTTAACTTTACGTGGAATGAAAACGGTACTGTCACTTACAGACTATGGCGGAGGTGGTATTTCGAAGAAGGTAAATCAGCTGGACGGCTTACAGATAAAATAACAACAATTAATCCGGCCACAATGGTAAGTTTAATGGAGTTTTAATTACGGTGGTTTATCTCAAACATTTATAGGTGGCAGCAAATCATGTCAAAAACTGGAACTATTTCACCAAAAGAGGCCTTTCTCATGCTTTCAGCGTTATGGGATACGAAATTCACACCGTAAAATCAGTAGGGGAATTAATTTTTGATGGGTACGATGAACCACTCTTGAAAGTTGGTCCATTGCTTGGCATCGACCTGCCATCAGCTGACAAGTTCGGATGGTTCCACCCCGTAAGTAAAAACATTGACCCAATTCGTTTCTCAACAGTCCCTTACAGAGGAACAACTCGTACACGTTCGATGGGACCATCAACGTTGATACAGGATACAACGGAAGCTTAGGCGAAGTAAAGAGTTGGAATTACAAGGAAAACATTGATTTTTACACTGGCAAATGTAGACAAATTACCGGATCTGCGGGAGAACTCTACCCAAGACACCGGAAAAGGGATAGCATCTCCGTTTTCTCTACGGACACGTGTAGAAGTATGCAACTTGACTACAAGGAAGATACATTAGTGAAGGGAATTCAGGGTTATAAGTACTCCGCACAAGCTGGAATGTTGGACAATGGTACGACTAAACCGGTGAATTACGTTCATTAATCCTTGTTTGCAGGCACTCTAATTCCAGAAAACAAATGCTATTGCGATGGAAAATGTATTCCATCTGGGATGCTGAATATATCAACCTGTAGAAGTGGCGCCCCTTTGTTCGGCTCCCTTCCTCATTTTTATGGTGCGGATCCCATTTACGGATCGATGGTCGAAGGAATCAAACCAGAAGAATCGAAACATGAGAGTTACGTAATATTAGAACCTGTAAGTCATCTTATGGAATAACGCAATATGTTTGACTCGTATTTTTAGATAAGTGGGATGCCATTGGACGCCGTCCTGAGATTACAGGTGAATGTCAAAATGTCACCAATCAAGTATATAAGGTAATAACGAGCTTCATTATGTTCTATACTGATATCCATTTTTCAGCATGTACGAAGACGTTCCGGAAGTATACCTCCCGGTATTTTGGTTGGAACAAGTCCTGAGTATTTCAAATGATATTTCTTGGAAGCTTTGGTTAATATCGCATGCGCCCACAATATGCCCAGTGGCTGGGGGTATCTTTGTGCTATCTGGCTTTCTGGTATTTGCATATGTCATTAGAAAATTAGTAAATGAAATGTCTCACAAAAGGAAACGAACGATTCAGTTTTTGAAAGAAAAGGAGCCTCTCAATCAAAGTACCAATCTAACCACCAGAAAATTAAGCTATGTCGAAAGCTTTATTCGTAATTAATAAATACATGCATGTAATAGCTTTTTAAAAACCCTTCGACTGTGATATTACTCTCTAAAATTAATAAAATAATTAATACTATTATGATATGTGCTAAATTTAGAATAAGAAAACTTGCGGGCGTTTACTAATTATATATTTCTCTACAAATATCTTCCAGAATAGTAACTTTGATATACATTTACATAATGGACTGAACCATATAAGGGTTTTCTTGAGACAGTTTCAGCAGTGGCGAGATTCAGTTTAAACGAAATTATTAGTGGTGCCTCATTAAAATGGTGAATTTATTGCAAGTAAGTAATTTCGGTTTATGTCTCACATAGTAATAGTAATAGTAATAGTTTATTGTATACAAGATGTTACATCTCATTACAAGAGCCTTCAGAATCGAACAGTTATAGTAAAAAAAAAAAGAAACGGAATTTTAAATCTATAAACAGAAAATTTAAATTATGGATGTAGGTATTGTATCTATAGTATCGTTTAGAAAAAAGAACAACTCTAAATATTAACAAAACTCACAACTTGACCTACCAAAATATTTCTCTTTGATTGCTGGTGAACATGTAATTGAAGTTATTTGAGTTTTTAGACAGATTTGAGGTAAAATTCCAAGTTACACACAGGCAAAAAATATCGCACTGACTGTTGTTACCCTCTCTAAATTCATGGAAATTAGACATACCTTGAACATTTCAAAAAATCACATTTAATTTCTAGTGTTTATTACTTGAACTGAAGATTTTGGTGTTTTGCTTTTCTGGAGTTGCATCCTTCCCTTCACCCCGGCGTTTTGAATCTTCGTCTAGTTGGACAATTTGAGGAGATTGGTTGACGTATTTGATAGTAATATTTCTTTCTCCTTGATCTTGACGGGTTTTTAATTCTTTCTGGAGTGATTTTAAGTGTTGTAACTGGTTCTTGGTCAAATCAGCTTGGATCTTAATATTGTGGTATTCTGTTGGCAGCAGTTTTTTCTTATTAACAAGAATCATCCTTGAGATTTTGGAATCGCAGAATGATACTTTGAGAGGTCGTGGACGACCTGCAAATTTTCCGATACGAGTACACTCGATAACTTTCTCAGTGGCGTCAGGGGCAGTGACACTTATAACCTTTGTTGCCAATTGATGATCCTCAAAGCTATTGGGCACGGAGATTTCTTCTGATAAGCCAAACAGCATAATATTGTTCTCTCGCTTAATCCTGTCTCGAATCTCACGGTAGCTGTTTTCAGTGTTACGGGTATCATGAAGTTGGTCTTCAAGCAAAAGGATTTTTTGTTTTAAATTATAGTTTTCAGTTTTAATTAGTTCGATTTCCTTTATGCAGACAGATAATTGTTCGCCCTGATATTTCAATAGCGCATTGCTGTCCTGGACATTTTTGTTTATGGCCAAGAGTTGACACATTAAATTTTTGAAATGCTCTTCAGTGAAAACGAAGTTTGTTAGCGTACCGGTACCCATTTTGGAGTTCGGCGTCGAAAAATTACAACATACCCAAGTGCTATTCCTACCGCCTGTGCTGGTACAAGCCATGTGTGCAAGACTCCCACATTGCGCGCAACGTACATCCTCTTGGTATTGGATAAGGCGATTGCAAACAGTACAATTTGCCGGCATTGGTAGAATAATAATATTATCAATGAAAAAGAAATAGTAGATATGGTATTCAAAACTTCTATTTATCACAACTCGACGGATTACACTTGTTTTGCTTATCACTTCACCTTTTGGCGTAAAATTTTATATGATTAATAGTCGAATTATTACTTTCAGAGATTTGATTTTAATTGAGATATTTACGAATTCGTTTTATAGTCCTAATGCCATACATGTATACTGTGCCGCGTCCAACTGAAGACTGACTGCAAGTTAACGAAATGAGATCAGAACCTCACTCATACAAAGACTTACAATTTATCGCTTACTTTTCCAGTACCTACATCCTTAACTTACATTCATTCCGAGTACTCCAAAATGATAAAAGTAGAATGTACACAGGGTGATTCATTACTGACCAGCTCAGATGCTCATAATGAGCAAGAGAGTAGTGGTCACATGATACTACAACTTAGTATCATCATTGAATAAAAACACTATAAGAAGCCTAACTGCGTCCAGATTACGCGCGCCGAACTGCGCAAAACGTTTGCGAGCGTTGCAGCAACATGTAATGTGGACGGGTATATGCGCACGAACGCGCCACTGCGTGCATGCACGAATTTGTTCGGGCAAGTGTCGGTACATCAAAGAAATTCGGCTAAGCGCGCGTTTAAAGTTAAGTGAAGTTTGGACGTAGTTGTGCGCATTCCTGCAACACAATGAGTGAAATTGAATGGAGTCGGGAGAAAACACTGCAATTAATTAACATGTATGAAACAAAATCAGAATTGTGGGACGTGAAAAACAGTAATTACCATTTACGAAATAAAAAACATGATGCTTGGAAGAACATAGCAACAGAAATGGAAAGCGACGTTGAAGTAATAAAGGCGAAAGTAGCATCGTTGCTGTCATCGATGAGAAGAGAAAAGGCCAAAATGAAGAATTCTACAGGCACGGGGAAAGGTAGTATTTTGATTTTCTTTTGATGTCCATTTTAGCTAATTGTGTATACATATGCAGGTAGAAACGAAATATATATAAGCAAATGGTTTGCTTTCGAAGCCTTTAAATTTTTGTGGGATAAGGACAGTGTAAAGGGCTCAATAAATACAGAAACGGTAAGTTCAGATTATATTTATTTCCAGCCTACTTACATAGTAGCATTTACCTAAGCATATTTATCTTGAAATGATACAGCACCATTCGACGAAAAATACTCCGCTAGTTCGTTCCGAATTTGTTGTGCATTTAGAGGAGATTTTCGCGGTAGTCTTCTGATAGGCAAGAATGAATTTTCAGGATTACCGTCACGTCGCCATGTTCCTTCTATTAATAAACCATCCTCTTCGCTATCAAATGTTCCAGGCGGAGTATATATTTGATTTGAGTTTCCGCTTCTTAAAAAATTATGCAAGTAAAGAGTGGTTAAAACAACAAGCCGTGCCTTCTCAGGCTCCAGTAATAGTGGTTTTCTCAAAACCCTAAAAACAGCGGACAATATGCCAAACGCGTTTTCGACAATTCTTCGTGCTCGTGACAAGCGATAATTGAAAATTCTTTCTGGTGTACCTTTGTCATGTAAACCTGAATAAGGCTTCATAATGTTGTCATGCAAGGCAAAAGCATCGTCAGCAACAAACACATAAGGAATCCGTTTCTGTCGGCCAGGAAGAATCCGTGGTTCCGGAATGGGAAGTTCTCTCTTTTCGATTTTTCTCCATAATAAACTATTTTTAAAAATTCCCCCATCCGAAATGCGACCCTGACCACCAACGTCACAAAAAAGAAAATTGTATTGACCATCTACCAAAGCAAGTAGTACTATACTGTGAAATGATTTATAGTTGTAATATTCGCTTCCACTCTGTATGGGTGCTTGTAACATAATATGTTTCCCATCTAACGCCGCTAGGCAATGAGGGAAATGCCACACGTCTTCGAAAATTTTGGAAGTTTGTGTCCACTCTTCTATAGTAGATGGCATCTGAAAATGTGAAATACACTGTAAATTCAGTACTATGGTCTATGAGTACACAAGCAGTGAAATCCATAAAAATTGCACTACCTATACTATTCTACACACGCCATTTAATAAAATATTTTTCTAGGACGAAGAAAGCACTACTGATGAAACTTTCAACAATTCAGAATCGCAATGTGTAGACAGAGAACCTCAATCAGTTGTAGCAAATGATGAAATCGAATCGGGTAGTGTAGTTTCCGTTGGGACAAGTCCTCAAATCCCAACAGCAAAACGTAAAATTTTTGTATCTCCCAAGAAAATACTTCCGAAACGAAAATGTGTACAAGAAGATCCTAAAGTGTCTGCTGCATACGATCTGCTTAAGAAGGTCTCAACCACTCCAAAAGACGAGTGTCATACTTTTGGTCAATACATAACAACACAGCTACAAAAAATGGATGAACGCACCCGAGCTGTTACAATACACAAGATTAATAACGTTATATTTGACGCTGTAATTGGAAGATACGATAATGGTAGTGGATCCAATACAAGATCCTCGGCATCTACACCTTCCTCTTCACATAGTTCCGGAAATATTGGGGCCGCCGATCACCTTTTATTCAATGAACAGTATCAGGATCCATTTTCCCAAGACACCCCTCAACCAAGTCCAAACTCACAATCTCAGGATTCATGGGGTGCTGTACAACATTATTACAATACATTCGCGCCTTAAGCAGTGATTACAAATATTCTCGTTTACAAATTTTGTTGTGATGCACACACACACACACCTTTTATGGATAACACTACGAATAAATGCAATATTTCTTACCTTTACGTAGTCTTTCAATGCGTCACACAAAGCTTGGCACACTTCAGTCACTATGGTAGATATGCTCTGTTTAGAAATTTTGAACAGGTACATCAAACTTGTGTATGAATCCCCAGTTGCCAGGAATCGTAGAGTAACTGCCAGTCTCTCTTTAACAGGAATGGGTTGTCTGAATGTAGTTTCTTGCTTCGCTATTTTATGCCCAATTAGATGTATCAGATATTCAAAATCTTCACAAGATATACGGCAAAAATTTTTGAACTGTCCAGTGCGTGACAATGATAAATCGTTCAACAGGTTGCTGCCACTATAAATATTGCGACTTTTAAATAAATTCGTCATCCAATAGCGTCTTCTCTTGCGTTGCTTTTTCTTTATAGCGTCGCAAAGAATAATAAAAGCTGCTGCAGAGATTTGCACATCATCATCCATGGTCACTCAAAAATATTCACCCGTTCAATTGGGAACCCTAGCAAACATAGCCAAGCACACACACAAACCAGAGACAAGACAGTGTGCGCAAAACATTTCTGCAACGCTCGCAAACGTTTTGCGCAGTTCGGCGCGCGTAATCTGGACGCAGCTTAACGCTTATGGAAGAAAGCGCGACAAATCTCACAAATCCCCTTGCACCCGCATTGGTTGTGACCCCCGAACTCTCATTGCGGTAAATAGGAGGAAAGCAAATTCTCATTCTTCTCAGTTCAAGAATCGACTCTATTGACAGTGTTCCCATTATATTCTCAGTTCAAACTCTGTCGCGCTT